GGAACAAGACAAGAACAGAGTACAAAATTTAGTATGGCTTTTTGGCATAATGGTCAGACATGCTGATAAACATCCTGGTGGTAGTGAGCTCGATCCCTCGCAGTGATCATGCGAATCGCCAATTTGGAGGGCGCGTGGAGCGCACCCAATTTTTTCACTATAGTTTCGCGAATGATTCGCGAAACTATAGTGAAAAAATCGGGTGGATGGGTTAACACTGCATGAGTTTGCACTGTATGGGATTAAAGTGCACGAGAGTTCTCCGTTACATTGTACGACTTTGGAATTGTCTGAGAAAACTCGCCTAATAGTGTCTGGGATTATATTGCCCGAAAGACGGTGTCCGAGCCGGGAATTGTACGAAAAAAGTGCCCGAGTTGAAAAGTGCCGAATTTGAACTGTACGGCTTGGGATACTACCGTTTGGTTGAATATAGTGTGGGAGAGTACACTAAACAGCGAAATCCGGCGAAAAATCTAGTCGGAATTTTAGTACCACATTTTTTTAATTCGAACGATGAACGTTACCAAAGAAATGATGAAAATGTTGATATCTCGATAACGCATGATAATGATGGTACTCACAGAATATTGAATATGTGTTAACCATTATGGAACTCGAGTCAATGGTTGATGGAACGTAGAACGTCTATCTACAGTCGTACTCATAAAAACATCGACTAGATTCGAGCTAAGCTAAGATCCCATACTTTTGCACTCTGTACAACTACACTATTCCTGTATGTAGATTAGCGTAACATAACACAACCAGCTTCATATAAGGTAATCCTCGTGAAAAAATATTTGTTATTATGAATAGGGTGGTATACCATCGAGAATAGTCATCAGATTCTGATGATCAGAATCGGAGTTCATAGATCAATGTGGACAGCTTCCAAGGGTGAACTTTCTCCATGCTCCACCGATCTCTATGTGTGGTAAGTCTTCATTGCCGTTGGCCAAAAAAGTGATATTCTGCATATCATGTTCTCCAAGAGTAACGTCATCTTTACAGACGAACTTGGTCTGGTTGATGAAGCCGTTGTAAGCTTTCATAGTATCTGGATCTAGAGTATCAATTGTGAAGTTGTTGGGTGTAGGGGGTACTGGGTTGAACTCCATGCCGCCTCCTAAACCATTACCATAATGACAAAACGATGCGTAAGTGACCGATAGGAAGGCCTTCTCTCGCCAGATGATTGCGACGAAGCACCCTTTTTTGATCGTAGTCGTGTAACTCGTACCGTTCTCTGCGAGGACTGTCATCATCATCATCATGGTCGTCCCCAAAGTCATGAAAATAATTGTGGAAATCATATAAGAGTTGAGAATATACTACTGAATGTGGGTACCATCTCCCAGTGTGAGAATACATGTACATCATGTACGATGCCAACACACGTAGTTGACCATGATGATCAACTACGTGTGTTGGTGACAATATGAGAATTCTGAAGGAATTTCAAGAGCTCCCATACTGATCCTTAGGGAAGTAAGTTGTCTCTATACTCCGTATGGATCGTCGCTTTGCATCACAATTGTACCACTCGCCACTCCCGGGAGTCGCGTTATCCCATCTACTCCGACTAGTGTAGTGCCGTTCGTGAGGTGATGCATTGCCCTCCTCCATCTCCTTGCAGTACTATCATCTCTCTGCATTCTTGAGGATGATCATGTGGGACACTGTGCTCAGCACGAGAACCAATGTGTACATGTCTAGTACTCCTTGCTGGCGCAAACAGACAGTGTCACTAAACTTCGTTTCTTTCATCACTAATAATAATGCAGCCAGTAAGTCCATAAGTTACGGCGGGTGTTAGGTAATTCCTTGACGTTTTACACTGTAGAGGCAATAGAGTCTGTCATTGTGCATACATACACTGTATGCGCTACAGTTGGGCCGCTGATCTCTGCGCAACATCATATAGTTGTTGAGCCCTCATGAAACAATACTTAGTAATACTCTTAGAGTATTCTTAAGTATTACTTACAACCAGGGCTACACTGCGCGGTTCACGTTGCATGATATTTGTCGATGCATTCAACATTTATTTTGCGCTGTCACTTGGCTCAAAGTCAAGTCTTCCCAGTGCTAACTCAAGAATGTCGTCGTTGTCTACGGAGTTAACCATTAGTGAATGATAGTGATGCTAACTATAATAGAGCTACTATCAACATCGTAAACGGACAATCCGTTTAATAACGTGCAGTAAGCGTTGGGTGCTCACCCTATGCGTGTCAGCGGAGCGACCGATGTCATGTTTGTGGAAAAAGAGACTATCCGCAGTGCAGGGGCTCTCCCTTCATATGGCTTAACCCCATTTAACTACTGCGTGTAATGTCATATCTATTAGCTCTGCAATGGATCTTGGATCTTGACCAGCGAAGGATTGTTTAATGTGAATACGGCATTTGTTGCGCCGCGCAACTTGCGCGCGCGCCACTTTTTTACTTCTGAGCCATGGAATCCCATCGAATACGGGGTTGCGGGAGGTAGCAACCGTGATCGGTCGGCCCGTCGGTATTCTCAACCGTAATGACCCAAACCGGTTGGGCCACACACGGTCCGACCACATCAGGTGCTACCAATGCCTTCAATTGACCTCGTGACCCCCACGTAGCTGCGCGAAGGGCCCACCTGGGATGGAAGCCGGACGTCCGGTCCTCCAATTGTTGGTGGGATCAGTATGAAGGCATCGCCATATTCAAGCGAATAAAAAAATTATTCTGGCCCGTCGAGGGACCCCTCGACACTCGGGGTTGAGCTCGGCCTCACAGCCGTACTCGATCCACGTTGTAGACCTTTAAGGTCCAACTCAAGGTTGTTTCACCTTCGGTTTCCGCTTTGCAACACTCGAAAACCGTTTACGGGCGCGCGCACTTCACTTGTGTTATATGTCTTCCATGGGTGCACCCCTCCTTGCGCGACATTTCCCTCACACTACAGGACTGTTGTCCTTCCGCTCACCACTAAATTGCTCCTTAGGCCACTTCTACTGATGATCGTGCGTGAAAATGATTCCAAATACTCTATCCTGAGACAATCGCATCACCCTCCCCACGTCTCGATTAATGCGGCGGAAAATTGCGAAAAAGCCTCGGAGTCCGGCCCTCGCCCTCTTCTGCACCCCGAAGCTCAACAGTTCGTTAATGATCTTACTGCTGGTGGAGCGAAATCCAAAGGTGTTATCAAAGTCTTGAGAGAGAAGAACTGGATTCCAGAGCAAGTCATATTGAAACAGCTGCGGAAGACGATTTATAATCAACGGGCTAAATAACTGAGAAACAGTCCGGTCAGACCACGGCCCGTGGACTCATCTATCCTGGCTCTCCGACAACCTTGCGAGGAGCGATATAACCTCGCTCTAGGCGCCGACAGTCACGACAGTATTTGCCTCGCATACCGCTTTGACTGTGATAATAATGATTCCGAGCTACAAAAGGCTAAGGATGATCCTGATGCTGAGGTTTTCGGATGCTTCAGCTCTCCTTCATTATTAAAACAAGTTAGCTTCCTCGATGTTGCGGCGATGGATTTTACTTATGGCTTATGCTATGTGGCAGTAGTATGCTTGGTTATTGGTATGATCCGAAGTCCTGGTCAGTTTTGTCCATTAGCCATCGCTTTTTCGTTACGAGAAAGCTATGCTTGTGTCAAGGATGGCATCCTTGGTATTCGCAGAGAATGCGAACGGTTGGACCTTCCATTTAAACCAGTCGTATAAGTGGCGGATGCAGCTCCATGCTTTACGACCGTTTGCAAAGAAGTAGTTCCAGACTAGAGAACTTTTGCTCTCTGAACAAAAGCTTCATCCTATCCGAAACTGGCATACGACCTCAAGGCTCACAAAAGAGTTGCGCGAGAAGCCTTCAACGGCCAAGTTTGCGCGACTCTTTTGCTTTGTGTATATGTGGAGGCAGACCTTGAAGCACAGCTTATCTCTCATTCAGAAAAACTCTGACCATGGGATCCTCAGTCGGGAACACTGCCTAGAGATTCGAGGCGAATTCAAAAGAGATATTACGCTATTACAACGAGTTCCTGAGTCTGCACACTTCTCCTGGGTCTGTGACGTGCTTAATCGTGAATGGAGCGTTAAGTGCAAGAGTCTATGCCATGCGTTTGGAGTAGCTCCATAGACTCTATGGAGCTACTCAAAACGCGCCTGGCTTGAACATCGATGGGGCTGGTCGCAAAATGTCAATGCCGATATCATCGACTTTGCTGTATGTAGACATAGCAATTCGATTGAGGCCACTAATAACTCTCCGAAAAAAACACACTGGGGCACCTACCACCAAGAATCTTGTGTATTCAGAGTTCGCAAGAACTATGTAATGCCCGAATACATCCGATCGAGGCGCCTACTCTACCCCAACTCAACAACACTCCGGGGTAAGCACCAGCGAGGATCTCGTGTATTCGGAGTTGGCAGGAATTGTGTGATCCTCACACTGTGAGGCCCGAATACATCCGATGTAGACCCTCACAGTGAGAGTCTCACTCTACCTCAATGAAACCATACACACTCGAAAAGCCACGCCGGACTAGCAAAGAGGGTTCCTCAGTCGCGGCATCAATGGGAAGTAAAGGTTGATATCCAGGTGATGACCGTAACGCAAGTGAGGATCTAAACTGCAAATTCCAAAAAAAACAGGAACTGCAGGTGAAAGCGGAGAGGGAAAACCGAAAGCCCACCCGAAACCCGACGCGAAAACAGAAACCCGAACTGTTATTCAAGGTCAGGCTGCAATCCAAGGCTAAGTCGAAATGCAGGTGAGAGCGTGCGCTAAACTTCTTTGGAAAAGAGGCCTATTCTTTAGAAATGAGGATTCCCTTAGAAAGTCGCGGTCGAAGGAAAAAAGTGGCGCGGGGAAATACCCTCACTAGGGATCGAACCTGAGTCCTCCGACTCCCAGCTCCTGGGCGAGCGCTTTTTCATGCGCTTGCGTGCATCACCTTCATATTGTGAGATGGGGGAGGCGACGATTCGCATCATATCGTTGCTCCAGCTTTTCCCTGTATATAAGCTTCCATTATGGTGAAACGTATGAAGGCCGGCAAGAAGGGCTCTTCTGCTCACTACATCACTCGGGCTCAAGCTTTAAAACGACTTCAACTTTCCTTGCAGGAATTTCGAAGATTGTGTATTCTTAAAGGAGTCTACCCGAGGGAACCCAAGAGGAAACTACAAGGCGCCGATAAGACGTATGTTAGCTGTTGAGGTTTACAGCGATGATGATGTTGTTGTGAATGTAAGGTATTACCACATCAAGGACATCACTTTCCTCATGCAAGACCCTCTGGTTAACACTTCGTATTCGACCCAAGCCTACCTCAAGAAGCATAGGAGGATGATGGCGAGGAAGGACTACAAGCGAGGACGGACCTTGGAGAGGTTTCATAAGCCTAAGCAAGATCTAAGTCATCTCATCAAGGAGCGGTATGAAAGAATATTCAACAGTTCAAGTGCTGACTGCCGACCGATTAGGTACCCGACTTTTGACGCGGCCCTTCGCGATCTTGATGATTGCGTCGCTTCGCTGGCGATGTTCGCCCACCTTCCAGCAGATCAGTTGAAAAGGATCAAGCCGGAACAAGTGAGATTGTTAGCCTAGTCGTTGTCGTAGCTCCTCATGGTTTCACTAGGTTGCGGAAGCTCGCAAGCTCTACGATGAGTTTCTTTTCTATGTCATTCACACTGGCCGATTAACCAAGGTCTTTGCTTCGATCAAGGGGTATTACTTCGAGGCTCAACTGCCCTACGTAAGAAAAAAAGCAAATTTTCAACTTTTACTTTTGAGTAATTTTTTCAGGGCGCTGTGGTGTGTTGGTTGCAACCGCATAATTTCGCTCCGCGTTTCCCAGCAGAAGTTGATATGAATGTCCTCAACACGTTTGGCGAATGGTAGTAATATGGTTGCGGATCAATTTTGCATCTCTTCTCCACGACAGGTACCGCACCTTGCTGAGGTTTGTCAACTTCAAACTGTACAAGGAAGTAGGCTGGCGCTATCCCCCGACTCACGCCCCGATGGCCGATGAACGTGAAGACACTTCTAGTACTAGTCTGGCCACCATTAAAGTCGACAAGGCTCCTCGCACCATGACAGAGGGTGACCAAACGAACGGCAAGGAAGGAATATTCAAGGGCCTGGTCTTCTGGATCTCCCGTGAAGTTGCTTTAGCTCCTATCTATACCGTTCTGGTCGCTGGGGGCGCTCAAGTGAAATGGCTTAGGGAAAATATGAACGATGATGATATCACACACTGTGTGATCGATCGACCTATGGTTCCTGAGGGCTTTGCTGAGGATCACGATAGAGATATAGTACAGCCACAATGGGTTTTGGATTCTTTCAATGAAGGAGTTCTACTACCTGTGGGCGAATATGCATTAGGGAAGGACCTTCCTCCTCATTTATCGCCGTTCGTTGATGATGATGGTGACGGATATGTTCCCGACCGGAGGAAAATCTTGGATGATATTGTTGGCACTATGGCGGGTAAGAAGAACTCTCAGGGTTTGCTCAAGGCCACTGCTGATGTTATGAATATGACGGATGAGGTTGATGACCGTTTGGCTGAGCGAGACTACTTACGTGAAGTGAAATCAGAGATGCGGTCGAAGGAAACCGCGGAGAGAATCAGCGAGGCCGAACAGAAGGCTGAGAGGGAGAAGGAGTTGGCGAAGCGAGCTGAGGAGAAGGCTCAGGAGAAGATGGAATTACAGAAGAGTATGTTGAGCAAGAAACACGCCAAGTTGTTGTCTAGGATTGAGTTCGGGAAGGCTACACGTGACCAGAAAGCGGCTAAGTTGATTCAGAAGAAGAAGGAAGCGAAAAATAAGGCCGGAAAATGATTGGAAGCTGTTCGCTATCATAAACGTCTCTCATACGGTTCCTATAACATAGGGCATCGGTTGCGTTGATTGTCAGTATAGACCGGGGTTGACTGAGGGAAGCTAGTGAAGCGGCGTAGAACTGTTATATTCGAGTAATCATTATTAATAACGAGTTGTTATGTCAAGGCATCCCTATTTTTGCTGACTGATAATCCCTGTGGAAAAAGATGTATATGGGCTGTGTGTTGCTGAGAAAATACAATTTTAGAACTTCTTTCGGGGATCTACGTGAACTTGTAGTCTGAAATCTTCTACCATTTTCGTACGCTAGAGTGAGCCCCAGTGCCAAATTGATGTCCTTTCTCGTTAGTGTGAATTCCTTATCCACGAGCATAGTAGCTGTAATCGCCGAATATATTGCTGAATGGTAATTTGATCTAATCTAGTGATTCACCAGCGAGAGAGTGAACTGGAATCTACACCGTTCCTTTTCACATTTCGTCACATTCCATGATATGTTTATCATGATGGTAAACAAGTCTCGAACAACAACCGGGTATCACGCGACTCGTGCAGGCTCGCCTATAATTCTATCCAGTAGTTCTGGTAGTTCTATATATATCCCAATGAACTTCGGAAACTCCACATGAGATCAATAACAGAAACATGATATCACCCATCAGCATTATTCTTATTTTTCATTATCTTCAACTCCTCTACTCTGCCGTCGTTCTTCACGACGTTTTCGATACCTGTAGATCTCCTTCCCGATTTTTCCCGCGATTTCCTCAGCCGTCATGTTTTTCCCATAAAAGTCAATAAATTTCCCATTAGGGCCCATCAGATAGTGTATGATCGAATGATCAACCAAATAGTCCTCGGAGTCAGTTCGAATACCCTGGTTGTAATACCTAAGGCCGACCACCATATGCACACATGGTGAACTACGTGTACTGATGACAATACGAAAATGCTGAGGAAATTCTAGGTGAATTTTCATTTATTTTTTGTCGTTTTTGGTTCCTGTATATTTCTACCCAGTGTTGGAGTATATGTTCGCTTTTCTCAGCTGGGTTCGGGTCTCAGAGAAAATTCCCACACACGAATTCGAGTAGAAGTGTACCGAAACCAATAAAAATTCCCTCAGTTTCCTCAGACTTTCTCTAGTGTCATCAACACATGTAGTTGACTATATTTTCCCACAATGTTTCTACCCTAAATCAAATGTAAATTTGATGAAGTTAGGAAACTCTTGAGCTGAGTAAATGCAGCATATATTCCAACAACAACAACTCCAGAGTTCGACAAGTCATGCCTACGCCCGACTACACGCGGAACTTCCTGGTGATGTCTTTTATTTGTTCGTGAGTGCCCGTAAGACCGATCGTCCGTGGATCAAACTCACTCAGATAAAGGGAGGTCTGCCATAGAGAACATAATAGTCATCATCGATTAGCCCTACCTGTGCACATGTGTCTCTACTAGGGTCAACAGTCACGAAAATCGGCACTATCGTGCCTAACAGTCGCGTAGAGTGGTAAACCACCATAGAGAAATTACCAGCTCCAAATTCCTTTTCTATGATGTCCACCGTCTTGCCGGCTTTCTCGAGTTCTTGAGGGCATATGTCCGGACAAAAAGTAAAGCCAAAATAAATGAGATAATATTTCCCCCTCAACTGCTCCGATGCCACCGGTTTACCATTTCCTGATGATAACACATCCCCTCAGTCACCACAAAGAGAAGGCTTACGGCAGTCTACGAGGGTCCACGGACCTCCCAACTTCGGTTTGCCGATTTCCTCGACTTCTGCGAGGGACCGCCCGACGCCGTGTTTACGCTGATAGTCCGCACTGAAGAGCAATTCTAAGAGCTAATGAAGTAGTGAAAATTACTTACAATTCTACCATTAATAGGACCAACGACCCGACGCATACGAACAACGCTGCACTCTTATACGTGAAACTGAAAACAGAGGTCATTCCAGAGATGTATCATGTATCCGCTTTCCTCAGCTGACCCTAGAAGGTTGTATACGAATTCGGGTAGAAATGTACAGAAACCAACGAGAATTTCCCAAAATTTCCTCAGAATTTTCATATTGTCACCAACATATGTGGCTGGGCATATTTTGAGGATTATAAAATATGAAAATACTATTTTCCCCACACTGAGTGTTCCTCTACAAAGCCAACAGTGAAAAGGGCTTACTTAACGTTGGTATCATCTTCCTTGATAATACCGGCGTCGTCGAAATTCCACTGATTTGACGGTAGAGGCTTCAAATTCGATGATGGTGGCCTCTCAGGAACTGCAGAAAAATTCCTTTATATATCAAACTAAATGGGGATCTCAGATCCATCACGAGGCGTTACCAGGTCTCCCTTCTGCCTTAGCCTTGAGTTCCTCTTCTTTCCAATACCTCTCAGGATCTGTCTTAGGGTTCATCATAGCCCTCTTCAACTGTTCTATATGGTCGTCACCATAAGGACCCCGACCCTGTGTGAACCCTCGTGTAGCCGTTGTCCTTAATAGCAGTCGGCGTCCTGGTATCGATCGACTGTGCCGAAGTAGCAATAATGACATCAACTCAAGATTAGAATATCAACTTACCAAAGTAGTTCACGAAAACGTTTACGTGAAGTGGCGTAAAACTTGGTGAAAAACGCGAAGTTCACGGTATGCAGTAGTCGTGGAATATATTTTTCATATCACTAGGGTGGTGAAACTCCAGTGAATTTTACAGTTTTTCTCACTTTACACTAAGATTCAGCGAGACAACCCTCCTAGTCGTTACACGATATGACCCAACGTTATAAAAAACGCAATACCAACGAGAGCTCAAAAATGGTCATGATGATAATGTTGCTACTCTCAACCGACGACGAACAAAACCTCACATCATAGTAGTAGGGAGCTCACGCAACTGAAATAGACACCAAATAAGGAAATGCAGTATAACAGATAATAGTAACTCACCCTAGTTTTCCCAAGCCTAGTAGCCAACCTGCAACGACAAGTGAACAGGGCCATTACGAAGGCCTTACCTTAGTGCCCCTGATATGGTATGACCCCGGGGAAAAACCAACCTCGGTTGCCAACACTAACGCCGCTTTCGATAGGGACAGGAGTGAACCTCTTGAACTGAGTAAAGCCCATACCCCTCTTGCACTCGGGAGCCTTGATGGTGGAGTTAACATCATAGCTGAGGTTACCACTACATAGCATAGAACGGCCATGCTTGAGGACGGCACGGCCACTGGGGAGGAGAGGCTTCTGAATCGGTGGCATTACGATGAGAACTGCTAATATAATTCCAGTCTTGCAACAACGTGTCGTCGTCGCATTAACTTGTTATAACACTTTGGTGTAGACGTAGTACCACTTACGACTGCAAAAGTACACCTGTACATTTCCCCCCCTATTCGGGATGGCTTGATTCAAATCCTTGCGTGTTAACAAGAATGTTCCGGTAAAATCTCGCTCGCCCGAAAATCGATGTGGAGTCCTTCGGGAGTCAAGTCCACAAGCCGTCACGAGGAGCGAAAATTGTAAGGTGCCTTGCAAGGCACTTCCACATCCGTACGATTTACGGGGTGGAAGGTAAGGTGATATAGGGTTTCTCATCGTAAGGCTCCTTATCGCGTAAGGCTTGTACCGTTGCTCCCAAAAGACTCGGAGGAATCAACACCGAGATGAGGAGAGGTGAGATTGAGAGGAGTCTGTGCATCGTCGGAAGGCTGGGAAGAACCCAAGGCATCGCCAGGCATTGTGGATGGCAATTAATAACTTGAGCCAGGTGGCTACGGCACCAATCTCAACAACAGATCGTGCAACCGTGAATCTGATACCACAGCCGTATACATGTGTAATCTGGCACGCAGACGCAGACGAGAAAGGTAGCAAGCCTTGGCAGAACACTATAAACTTTAAGGACTAAAAAGGTTGGAGTTGTTCTCGACAATACTCGAACATGTAACGGGTTCGAGTAGATGTA